TTGTTATCATGCCATTGATGTTCATCGCTGTTGTGTTTGGTTGCACACTTTTTTTATAATTACACATGTATCCAGAAACCACATACACTATCGACATTGTATGTTTCATGCAATTTGTTCTTTGTAATTTTTTTGCCATTGCAGTCATCCCTTTCTAGCGAGTTCCGAAAACATTTTTTGATTCGGTGTAAAATAGCTAAATTAGTTCTCATCTCATAGTGTAAATGTAGTTTATAAAAAACAAAGCTATGAATAAATTGACAGAGATTCTCTGCTACAGACTTAACATGATCAAGGCTGGTAATGACATGTTTGTCTGGTTCATTTCCATCATTCATTATAAGCAACAAACATATGTCACTTCCCATAGCTCAGTTCATTAAGACCATTAAGACTTGTCTTGAATGGGTTTGGAGCATTAATAGTGTTTTGTTGTTGTTTTTCTTTCTTCTTTTATTTGTTTTATGATGCATAATCATTTTATCTTTTCCGGGAGATACTATGAGTTAATAAATAATATTAATATTATTATTAGATTGATAATTAGAAAGAACCTTCCCAAGCCTAAAAAAAAATCCTGAAGAAAAAGAAGAAATACAACACATTTTGGTTCATTTTTGTTGTTGGAATAAAGTGTAACTATTTTTATAAAGTCGTCTGCACCTTTGATCAATATTGTTAAATGCAATTGTGATATCGGAAAGCGTAACACATCATTACAACAAATATTTATTCTACCAAAAATCTATAAAGATGGAGAGGAAAAAACACACACCACACATAATAATGTGCTGCTGTATCGCTGATTCTGTTCTCATTTGCAGAACTAGTTTGACATATTATGGACTGTGCTTATCCTGTAGTTCCTCTGGTTTTTAGTTTTACAGATTACAAACAGCACAATTAGAATAAAAACATTAGTTACAAGTACATCCATTTTGCAATTGAACAAAGTTCTAGATATTTATAATGAATAAGAATTCAATTCAAGGATTCTGTCTAGTGTTTTGGGAGGCTCTCCTCCTCGAAAAGTTTAAGGCTTAGTTTTGTAGAGATCATTTTATGATTTAGTATAGTGTGACGTATACTAAATAAAGCTTTCATAGCTTTATTTTTTAGGTTTGACTGATTTATTTTAAATATACCATTTGGTGTGAAAATGGTTCCTAAATAACAAAACTCCTTAACAGATGTTATCTCTTCATTATTTATTTTGAAATTCATATTTTTTATTAAACGATTACTGTTGTTAAATATCATCACTTTAGTTTTTCTAACATTAACATTTAAGTACCATTTTGTACAATAATCATTTAGTTTGTTCAGACAGTTTTGTAGACCGTCCGCGAACTCCGAAATAATTGCCAGGTCATCCGCATACTGAGTGCAATTTCAAGGAAAAGTGTCAATCATGATTCATTGATTGGTTTATCTACATTCTCACCGAATATACCAGGGAGGTCATTCATGAAAATGTTAAAAAGCGTTGGTGAGATGTTGCACCCTTGTTTGACACCACTTGTTGGATGAAATCCCTCTGTGATACCACTGTTTAGCTTTACTTTATATTCATGATCAGTGTACATTGATTTTATTATGTTGTAGAAATTGCCATTTATGCCAGTTTTTTGTAATTTTAGAAATAAAGCATCTCTTGAGACACTGTCAAATGCTTTTTTTAAGTCTACAAAACAGCTGTATATTCTTTTACATTTAGCACCAGTTTCTTTTTTTCCATACAGTTTTTTCCACTGCTGTCTTCAGAAGAAAAATTGCATCACTTGTGCGTCTGTTTTTTCAAAATCCAAATTGTACCTCATTCATTAATTTGTTTTTCTCCAAGTGGTTTGTATGCCTGTGAATAATTTTGATAGACAGCTGGATATAGCAATTGCTCTATAATTGGATGGGTTCGATCTATCACCTGATTTGTGTATTGGTACTAAGATGGTGGATTTCCAACTTGTTGGATACGTGCCACTCTCCAAAATAAAATTGAATAATTTTTGTATACATGGAATTAACAGACTATTTTTTGTTTTTAACATTTCATTTGAAATACTGTCTTCTGCTGTTGATTTTTTGTTTTTCAAATTTTTAATAGCCTTTTTAATTTCATTATATGAAATAACATTGTTTAACTCATGGTTAGATAATTTTGTATCTTCTAATAATTTTAGTGATTGCTTAAAAACAGTATTAGTGTTATTATTGTTATATAATTTTCTGAAATGACCTAGCCATTCATCGCTATTTATAGTCAGGATTAAGACTGTTTCGTTGACAACGTAGTTGTTTTAATAATGACCAGTACTCATTCTGATCTGTTTTATCACAAGTTTCAAGTTTGTTTATCATTTCATTTTTAAAAAATTGTTTAAAATGAAATATGAATTTGAAGGATATTTAACAGAAATTCAGGACTTCAATTTGAGAAGAATGGTTACCAAGTTTAGACTTAGTGACCATAATTTGGAAATTGAATTGGGCAGGAGAAAATTTCCAAGAATGGAGACAAATTACAGATTGTGTAAAAAATGCAACACAGGTACTGTAGAAGATGAAGAACATTTCATCCTTGACTGTTATTTCTTCACTCAAGAAAGAAATACTCTCTTAGAAGACTGTAAATTAGAAATGTGTAGTACAACTAACCGAAATTTAATATTCACTTGCATCATAAATAGTAGTACTGCACTTGCAAAATACTTAAAAAATACAATTTATAAAACCTAATTGTAATGCATATTTTATATATACCCTTTGATTTGTTTGTAATTTTGAAACTTTTGTTGTTGTTTATTTGTGTTTGTTTTTTCTGATCTGTATCCTTACCATACAGCACCCACTGATGGTGCAGTTGTGTAATAAAGTTATTATTAAATGAAACAAACAGATTGTGACCTCAATAATGAACTTAACTGTTAACAGTAAATAAATTGTAATTCCTTTCGAGGAGTTTTCAGCATTGAAATTGAAATAAATTGAAGTGAACCAGTGAAAATATACAAAAATACACAGTAATACGCGTGTGTAATAAGAGTAATGTGAATATACTGGTATCATTTCTGATCAAAAATAAACAAGAACAATGAGGTCATCAGTTACCGATATTACATAAAAAAGAATATTCATGTTTCTAAATTAATACTTCATGTACTCAATTAACCTCAGTGTCTCTTATAAAGTAATACAGCTAGAATTTATAAAATTAAATAATACAGCAATATATCTAAGCAAAACTTGGAGAGAAAATTACTGGCCAGTGTTTTGATGGGATGAGCTATTACTGGTATTCTTGTCAATTTTTTTAGTGGAAAAATTGATTTATATTACATAATGAAAATAACACGTCATCAGGTAACTGGACTATCTGATAAAGGATCTTGGAGAGTAACACCTGGTACTCATGATTAATGTCTTCATTCTGTGCATTATGTCTTACAAATTTCAACCCATATCTTAAATAAAATACATGCTAATCACACCACAATTGAACTTGGTGAACATTTTGTTATAATCAAATATTGAAATAAAAATTGATGGAGTAATTGTTAATCACAAGAAAAGAACAAGATATATATACAAAACATATGTCATAATTGGGTAATAAAATATCCAAGAAAGAACGAATAAAACCTGTTTTTTTTTAGTTATTGTAACTACAAGAAAAACATTTACGCCACATACAATGACAGAAGAACAGATATTTCCCCCTAAAATACCTTTCCCTTCATGAATAGGCATTAAAAATATGAGCGTAAATCAATTGCAAAAATATGTTCTGGGACTTTCGTTTCTCCCTATGACATGTATAGTCATAAACAATTTACACACAAAGTATCAGTAATTTCCAAGAACTTTCATGAATCTTCCTGGATTGTAACAAAATCTATCAAAATTACTTGTCATGCACAGGCATCAACAGGAGATAATACTGCAATCATGATAATATCACTGACAATTTGCAAAGTTGCTACCCATTAAAAAAAATTTAACATACAGTTTTCCAGAATAATATTTCTACATTACTTTGTAGTTGTAAAAGATTAAAATTACATAAATAATTAGGATTTGTACAATATACAGCCTTTTTTCTGAAGGACTTATCTTGGTCTCTATTCTAGTAATATCATGACTCATTAATAATTATTACATGTAATAATATGAGGTTATTACGAAGATACCTCAAAGTATGCACGAAGACAGTACAGCGGCAGTATCGACCGACGCGTAGAGGCAGTATCGACCGACATGCAGCGGAGGTCGATGCGACAGCGTACTGTCTGAGTGCATACTTTGAAATATCTTTGCAATAACCTTATTATTATACATCTTTTCCTACCAAGGATACATCATGGGAATGCCGAAATCTAAAAAGTTCAGAACAGAATCAGCGAACTTCTTTGTATGGAGTCCGGTTAAATTCTGGTGGAAGCCATGTTTGTTTTTATTATTAGAGGACGCTTACACGCATAATAATTCCATATTTGGAATTCGCATTTCCTAATATGGTAGGATGAAAATACCCCGTAAAATACCGCAAAATTACGGCACGCTGTAACCTATGGCGTTACGGTGACAGATGTATAATAATTGTTTATAATTTCAAATGTACAATTAATAAAATTACAGGATAAAAGTTTCATTTTATAAATCAGTAGAAACAAATATTTGAAAATTTTTGGAGGGTATTATGTACCCAACATTGACTCCTGGTGTATTTTTTATGCCTAGTAGTATTTTAATTCTTTCACTTATAAAATGAAGAAAATGAAGAAAAAGCAGTTCTCGCTCAAAATTTTATTTTATTTTCACATCTTGAGTGTCCTCTCTATGGTACCCCTGCACATAGCTACATAAGATTGGTGACAAAAATGACAATAAACAATTAAAGAAATTAACCTTTGAGATCTATGAAATTAATTTAATTTATGGTGAGATGACCATGGTTCACACAATCCATTTACCCAAAGGTAGGGTAATATAAATATACCCACCTGAAATACAGCTTTACTTGACGATGACGATTTTGACCCTGAAAATAAAACAAAAAATAAAAAATCATAAAAAAACATAAGCAATGTATTGTAACTCAATAATGTTACAACATTATATAAAACTAGCATCGCGCTAAAGCTCTACAACTAGGGACTGGGTCAAGAGGGAAGGATTTTTTTTTTTCGGGATTGTAGAGGCGGAAAGTCAATATCGATTATATCGACAACATGGACGCATATTCAATTCCCAAGACCACGTCTTATATGCTTTAAGTGCTGTATCTTCGTAATAACATATTGGTTTACCGTGATTCTTCATGACGGAGTTGCCCATGTTTTACCACAAACTAAACACACCAGCCACAGTTGCATATGAGCAACATTGGCGGTAAGACAGAGACCGGACATGTCAACATTTCGCGATCGAGACAAACAAACTGGGTCGACTGATAAAACAAAAGTGATCGGCGTGATGGCGCGGCCACATTGCTCGATGACAACATGATCAGAGATTTACCTGAATTACCATGCACATACTATAATAATATCATTGTAAATTCAGCATCATTTCTTGGGAAGCTCGTTGATTCGACAGAAGCTATGAAGACGTGTTCGTTGCCAATCAGATGCCAGCAAGAAATCAACAAGGCGATTTGGCTAAAGCGCCCTCTGTAGGTAAGAATTGTCAACTAAGACAATCAATCCGGAAGTGTCATACCAAATTGGTCCGTGAAATTCAGTTTTGATGTCAACATTAGCAGAAAGTAGTCAACCAGCCATTGAATGTCGATAGCCCGACACACATTTCCGGTAAGATTACGGGAATATAAATTCTTCTAGGGCATTGGTTCTGGTTGAGAACCGGTTCGGTATATGTCACTGCTGTGACATAAAAAGCGCATCACCACCGGCAGAATTGAGTTTATACCGTACAGTCAGACAACCATAGATAAGATTTCCTAGTGACTCGTGTTATGGTGCTGCTCCATACGTTGAAAGGAAATAAACACTGTTATTGAAGATTGACCTCGGTGTAAAAGTTAGGTCATGCGACTGTTAATAACTGCTCCGTTGCAGGTTGCCACTGGAAACGAATCGTCAGCTAAACGACTTAAGTAAGTGTATATATATATATTACATTTGTATTCACCTAAATTGAATTTCTTTCAATAGGGTTATTATAAAGAATTATCTTATCTTATATTGTTACGTATGTGACACTCCTGGTACACACTGAGTGAAGTACAACAAGATAACACGATCCAGTGAACAAATGAAACGAAGCAAACAAGTATTTTGATGAGTAAAATTGGTTTTTCTACACAATTTAATGTAAAATATTTCTCTGTCTCCATTGTAAAGTTATTATAGCCAGTCATTGATTGTGTATATTGGGTGCGTATTGTACAAACTTTATATTTTGTATTAATTTTTAAGCTGCTACCAACTTGTTATCTGCTTTTTAAGGTTTAATAATTATAAGTGAATATGACTATTATAAAAATAATAATAACTTTATTACGCAATTTAACCATCTGTGGGTTTAGTAAGGTAAAAAATGATTACAAAGACAAATAAAATAAGACAAACTAAAATTAAAATACACTGAAATTCAACAAAAGAAAGAAATGAAAATTTAAAAATCACTGAAAAATTGATTAAACATCAGCCAGTTTCTCCCAGACGACTGTTACATATTTAACTTTAGAAAATTGTATTTTTTAAATAATATGATAAAGCCATATTATTTCCCATTATTTTCACAAAGCTTTCCATTCTGTTCAACTCATTAATTTTTATTTTAAAATACTTCAAGACATGTTTTCTCCCTACTTTCTCCCATAGAAATTGCAATCTAAGATGAAATGCATTTCATCTTCAATTTTATCTGAATTGCATTTTTTCAAGTTCTTTCATTTTTGGTTTACTCTTTCTTCCTAATTCAATTTCAAGGTTGTGGTCACTCAGTCTGAAATTTGCTAAAACTCTACGTTGACTGAAGTTTTTCATTTCTTTTAGATAGTTTTCCAACAACAACTTGTAAACTTTGTTTTTACAACATTGGTTAGTTGATTAATATTGTTGATCTTGTAAGTTTCTTTTATTTTAGACATATTAAGTTATTTTCTCCAAAAATTGTTTTTATTTGAGTAATCCAGGCAGAATTATTTTGTATTTTCTTTATTGCACATCTTAATATGTGATTTTCAGGAAGCAAATTTATTCTGTACCAGTATTTAACCTTTGAAACCATTGCATTTATTTTTACTGGTAATCTACCTAGTTCACCCCTTATACCAACTGATGGTGTAAATTTAATAACACCAAGAATAAATCGATAATAATTATTACAAACTTGCTCTAAGTTATTTGTGTCATTTGTTAGTTCACCTGCCCAAAGTTCTGACTCGTACATTAGAATGGGTGTAACCAACTGATCAAATAATTGTAAACACAATGAAGTTGAAATCATTTTATGACTCAGTATAATTTGTCTAATGGCAAATAATGTCTTCATTGCTTTATTTTTTAGCATACAATGCTTTGTTTTAAATTTTCCATTCGGAGTGAATATCATACCCAAATAGCAGAACTCCTTGACTGGTGTTATGTTTTTACCATCTATAATAAAAGTTTGGTTTTTCAGTACTTGTTACTTGTGCTGAATATCATCACTTTGGTTTTCTTAACATTAATCACATCAAGATTCCAGGTTTTACAATAGTCTGCTAATTTATTCAGACAATTTTGTAAACCCTCTGAAGACTGCGAAAACAAAACAAAACAAGATCGTCTGTATTAAAATTATGCGTTTTCGTCAATTCTATAAATAAAACAATAAATTGTACTGGTGGTACCTGCTATTTTGGCACACAACAGAAAATAACAAGTTGTGTCAGAGTGGTCCCTTTCGAACTGACATGTGCTCTGACAGGAAATAAACAATTTTGTTTATGAAACATACGTTTGTTTGCCATGTGCCAACAATTTGTAGCAATATTCTGTAGATAGAGGAACTGTGACCTAACCTCCTATGAAAGCTGATCACATATATGAAGTGAAAGGCAGAATATTATTTATTAGAAATGGTTTGACATTGTTTTTTGTTGACAATTTTATTTAAACAGTTCTCAAGTAGTTGATTGATGCATGTTGTGGTCCTTGCATGTCCATGGTTTACATCCTGGGATTAAACACCAAGAAAGGAATTTACCTGCACAAGTAGAGTTGAATAGAAGCTCATGTCAAACATGAATATGACTAATGAACTAAAGAACTACAACAAAATAAATAAGACAATTCATCCAAAATTGTACTACTATATGTCCTCAGAAATTTTATGGAGCTTGCACAATCAGGGGTAATATTGTTCATTTTAAATAATTTTTATGTTTTATGATATGAAAGCATTCAACTTTATCAAATAATATTATATACAGTGTAGTAAAATTGCATTTTTAAAAATTAATTACCAGACCACGAGGCATGTATGTTTTCATTTTCACCAGCCTGACTAAAAAGTTACCTTGGGTGTATGGTAGTGCATTACTGGTAATTATAAACACTGGACTGTGTGGGTTCAGGAATCCCGTAATGTACACTGTTATTAGCATATTGTTCTCTATATGTATATTTTGTCAATATCAAATGTACTTTTATCAGTTTAGAGTGAGTGTGATTACTGTA